GACGGGGAAATTAAAACACCCCTAAGCCATAACTTGACAGGCTCGGAACCTCGCAGTGAAGCACATAGGTTGGCTTGACAAAACTGGACTCGTAAGTGTAGTTATCACTCAGCACTACACGAGTAGGCTCTATCATGTGGAAAGGATCCCGGAGGTAGTCCCGAATGAATGTCCTTACAGTAATGAAAACAGTTCGTTAATTCAGTATATCAGTCATTCAGTCATATGTGGTACATCCATTAGCATAACAGTACAGTAAACAGTAGGTCTTAAAAGACCGAATAGTAAATGATGGCCATCAATTAGTAAACAGTAGTGGTTCCAACAAGGGAACCAACAGAGATCTCTGTAACAGTAACAGTTAGCAACAGTAGTTGCTAAGGATGCCACAATACAGTTCAGAATAGATGACATACATTCATTCTATTAACGGTATCAATTCAGAAACAGTACAGTTCAATTGTTCAAAAGATAAATCATTTTTGAACATATCTTTACACAGTTGTTACTCACAGAGTTCTGGGCTACAGTAAAGCTAGAGCGTGTCCCCAGTCGCCAACCCTACACAGTTATAGACTGAACACACACTAAGCTACACAGTTGGAAAAATAATAACTTAATCCCTAATTTGCCTCGGTGTGGTTCTACATCTATATCCTGATTAAGATGCCTTAAACTAGGCCTAATAATGCCTAGGATGAGATGAGGATGCAAAGATGCACTTTAAAAGCATTTTCAGAATTTTCAGAAAACAGACACCAATCCCACCAACTACTCGGGCGTTGTATCAATCGAAAGCTTAGCTTTGTCCATGGTTGAAAGGACAGCTTGTCTATGAACCCGCGAGGCCATAAGCGGTCCCCAGATGGAGATGTTTGCTTGAATTTTCTTTAGCTGCTTCAGTACAACCTCCTCTTTTAGCATTTTTTCTTTCTGCCTCTCTGCTTCTTTGCCTTTCCCGAACCCCTCTAGCTGGTCCAAATGTAGGGGCTTAAAGTACCGCCCACTACGGGACATCAAAACAGTGCAAAGTACTGGGAGCACGAATTTCACGCTCGAGCGCCAGTCACCCCGCTCAAGCGTGAGTCCAAATTCTGGAAATTCCAGATTTGAACCTCAAGCTCAAAACCAAGTTTTAAAACATAAATTTCGATCCTCTTGGGCTAGTTTGCTGGAAAACACATCAAAACTCATAATTTAACATGATTCAAAGCTCAATTGTAAAATCAAAGCCCCAAAGGAAGATCAATTCTCAATTTGAAACCAATTTTCATGAACATAAATCAAACATAACATGCATGAATTTAAACCATTTCAAAGCTTCAATTTCATGCTCTAATGAGCCAATTCTTCCACGGACAAGATGAAATCATAGACTTAAACACAATATGAACATGCATATAACATTTACCATGAAATCAACTCACAACTCAACAATTTAAACATGCATACATGGAATGAGCTCCAATTCAACATTATTAGACTAAGACATGACTTGGCTCCTCAATTAGACATGAACCATGCAAGAATCAACTTAAACACAACAATGAGAGGTTGAATTTCCTTACCTAAGTCTTCAATCACAAGACTAGAAGCTTAATTAGACAATTATATAACATTTACCATGAAATCCACTCACATCTCAACAATTTAAACATGCATCCATGGAATGAGCTCCAATTCAACATTATTAGACTAAGACATGACTTGGCTCCTCAATTAGACATGAACAATGCAAGAATCAACTTAAACACAACAATGAGAGGTTGAATTTCCTTACCTAAGTCTTCAATCACAAGACTAGAAGCTTAATTAGACAATTATCTTTCAATTCTTCAAGTTCTCTAAGCCAACTCTCAAGAACACTCACTTCTCTCCCTCTCTCCCTCTTGGTCAGCAATAACAAGGGAAGTGGCTGATGAAATGTTTTGATTACATGTATAACAAGGCTCAAGTATGTTGGCTAAGTGGCCCACTCAATGGCGGCAAAATGGTAATTAAGTTAACTCATGCAATTTGGCTTAACTTAACCTAATTTAATCACACCAAATCACATTTTAACTGAATATGCCATAAAATCATATAAATTCCAATGAACATAAATCATCAATCAATTTCAGATTCAACCGCCGATAAGGTCTTCAATTCGCAATTTAAATACAAAGACATGAATAGATAATCAAACAGTCAACAGATAGACATACAATTAAACAAAAATACTTAATCAATTCAGTTCCAGATTTCAGTCAGTCAGTTCAGTACTTCAATCAATTCAGTTACCAATCATAGTCAGTCTCAGTTTAGCAGTAATCAGTGGTTAATCGATAAACAGGGACGAGGGTTGTTACATTGAGCCAATTGGTTGTCTTTACTTTCAAGAAGCCTTGACTTTTCCTCAACTCGGAGGTGTTGAGCCAATTTCTCTAAAGTAAGATCTTCCTTTTTGTGTTTCAGAGTTTTCTTAAAATCCTTCCAAGAAGATGTCAGTTTCTCTATTATAGATGAAACTGCAATAGATTCATCCATGTTCATATTCTTTTGTCAAAATTGACTCAGAATATATTGGAACTCATGGAATTGTTCCATAATGGGCTTTGTATCAATCATAGTAATACGCATAAAATTACTAACAAGAAATTTCTTACTGGTGGCATCCTCGATGAAGTACTTTGATTGTAATATGTCCCAGAGTTGCTTTACCGTTTCCAGATGTTGATACACATCGAATAGAGAGTCTGATAGTGCATTTAGAATGTGTTCTCAGGAAATGTAGTCGTCATTCTCCTATTTGGTTTTGGTACTGGTTTGCTTCACCGTCTCGTCCTCTTGCTCCATTAGATAAGGGGTAGTTAGCATAGACCACTTTGAGAGTGGTGAGCAAAAAGTGCATTTTCTTTTGCCAGAATCGAAAATTTCCTCCATCAAATAGGTCAAACTTCATGAAATCTTGAGTCATTTTCTGAATAGACATTGCCATATCCAAATATTGTCTTCAGATTGTTGGAATAATTCGTCTTGAATTCTTCAGTTGGCGGTCTTCAAGTCTTCAAAACTTGGTGATGATCTTGTCTATGTGGAAAAGAAATTTGGTGCTTCAAGTCGCGTTACTTTGTCACATTTCTAAAGACAATATTTGCACCCACCAAAAGGTGTGCAAGGAGTAACAACAAATTTGTCTCTAGGATACAATGAAGCCTGATCTAAGGATCAAGTCTACCGACGTCTGAACTAACGACAGTAGATCAGAATACTGTTGATATAATCAAGAAAACCAAGAAATTGATAATCAAATTTGCAAAATTTGATTACCAGTAAGAAAAGTAGAAACTCTTGATCGAAAACTCAAAATTAAGAGGGAGAGAGAAAGAATTGCAGAAATGCTTTTGAATTTTTAGATGGATTGAAATGGATGAATTCATAGCCTATTTATGGGTCTTAATGCATCTGATCGAATGGTCATATCCCTTGATCGGATCCGATCAGATTTGACCGTTGGATCGACGATCTATGGTGCAGATCATTCTCACACCGAATAGCTGCCTTGACTGATCACACCTGATCAAGATCGGGTGCCATCTCATCTGTATAATCGCGTGCATCTCCAATCAACGGCTATGATCAAACCGCTCCAGATCAGACACGCAATCGTTCGATCGGTTGGTTGACTCATCGCCAACGGATGCCACATCACTGCCATATGGAGCTGACTGTATTCTACGTCACCCATGCCACGTTGGATCCACATCATCGCTCCAACCTGTCCAATGCAAATAAGAAAGTGCCTTGTGCCGATGTGTCTGTGCAAAGTGCAAAGTGCAAAGTGTGCCATCAAACGCCTTACAGCCCACTGCCCATGCTACGTGCACGTGTGCGGATAGTGCGAAACATCATCCTTGCGGTGTGGGTGCATGCACACTAGCTTTCATCTCACAATTCTATATTCAAAGGAATATTCCATATAGCACTTTATTAAGTGCTCCATGTTTTCCTCTCTTTCTAATGTGAGACAAAACCCCCAAGCTTATTTAATGCTTTCTAAAGAAAAATAAGAAAGATTTTGAAAACACCCAAAAGATTAAACTATACATTTTAAAAACCATTTTGAAAATTCCCCAACAAATCTCAGGTTCACTGTCGTGTTTAGTAGCTGTTTATAATTTTCGTTATTTTAAAAGGAATAAATTATAAATACACCTTTTGAAATTTATTTAAAATATGAATTGTCTCCTTTAATTTTGAAAATTATAAATATCTTATTATCAAAATTCTTTTATTTAACAAAATTAACTAAAAAAATAAAATTTCTAACGATTCTCACATATAATGATAAAATTACCTAAATTATTAATTAAATTAAAATTTTGAAATTATTAAAAATTGTTAATTGACATGATGATTTGTTAATAAAATGTACTTATTTATTATGAAATAAAAAACTTCAGTGAACGAGATGTAATTTTTAAAATCATATGAGATAAATATTATTTTAAACAATCTTGGGAAAATAACAATCCAAGGTAGAAAATAAAAAAAAATATTATAAATAACTTTGTGTTGCATCCTTCCAATAATTTCTTTTTGTCTATGTAGCTGTAAATCATTAAAATTTCAATAATATTAGGAACTTACATTTAATTATCTAGAAATTACCCTAAATTGTCATCTCATGATTTAAATTTATTATATTTATAAATTTTATATCATATAAATTTAATTTTTACCGCACAATCAACCCTCCAAAAAAAAATCTACCTGATTAGCTGACTTTTTCTGAAAAATTCAAAGTTTAGGGGAGACAGTTGGGTCCAAAGTAACAATCAGCATCAATTAAGAGATCTTTTAGAAAGTGGGTTATAATCCACTTCTTAAATTATAATCCATTTCTTTTTTTTACCAAAAAAAAAAAAAAAAAAAAACTAATTATAATCCACTTATAATGACCTTTTAACCAAACTGATTATAACTTTTAAGTTACAGGTGAGAGACCGTTGAGAACAAATCTCCAGTCAACCCAAAAACCCTCCACCCCCACATTTCTCGTTCAAATAAATCCGTTCCACCTCTACCAATCTCTCTCTCTTTCTCTCTTCTCTAAATTACATGGCATTATCTTCTCTACCACGGTGCTGTTTTTCAGTCCATTTGTTGTTGGAGACCCAATCCAAATATCCAACTCACTACACATACTATGCATTCTTGGGCATTCCTCAGAACATCCTCATTCTCATCCTCATCCTCACCCTCCATCTCTCGATTCCTTTCAGCTCAACGCAACGCTAGTCGTCCGATCTTCACCCAATCAAACGGCTCGTCCTCATCCTCTTGTGGATCCAGCAATAGCAATGGTGGTGGTGGAGGGAACAAGAAGAGGGGTTGCTCGAATTCAGATTTAGAGTCGATTCTGAGATCGATCTCTTCGGTGATCTTCGTAGTGGTTGGGTCGAGCCTAGGGCTTTCTTACTGGCCTTCTCTTTCTGATTCTAATTCTTTTTTGTCTTTCGCCGATTCGCGAGGCCAGAATGCGAATGCAGAGCCTGAGCACAAATCCAACTTCTTATTTGGAGGTATGATTAATTAAATTAATTAATGGTTGATACGAATAATAGGGTTAATTACATTTTTGCTCATGAGATTTGTGTCATTTTGGTCTTTAACATTTAAATTGTGTCAATTTAATTGTCATTTGTGTCATTTTGGTCTTTAACATTTAAATTGTGTCAATTTAATCATCATTGTATAAAAAATGCTTTAATTTAGTCCCTCATCAAATTTCGTAAAAAAACCGAACGCCATTAAATTAGGGATAAATGTATAATTTTATAAGTGAGTATTCACATTAATGATACATATCACATGTTGTAGGGATTAAAAAGTGCAATTTTTTAAGTGAATTTTCATATTTATCCCTAACGTTAACCTGTCTACTGACAGAGTTAGATTGGCTGTGTTCGCATTTATGTAATATTTCACAATCTTAGATGCAATAAATGGTTTTTAGGAGATTTATTTGAAATCAGTAAAATCTAATTTGAACTTAAATTTAATTGTTTTGCGTGACTCTAAGGTGTCCTTTCAACCTGAGGTTCTTGAAGTTATTCACCATAGTTTCGTTTATGCTTGAAGAGTCATATATCAATTGGATTAGGATGAAAGGTTAGTTTTTAAACTTTTTGACTTAAAATTTCATAGTAAGTAGGTTGAGAGTGGTTAAGTTCGAGGCTGCATTTCAACATCTTTGGTCTTGGACAAACATAAAACAAATGTCTGAACATTGATCACTTTTTTTAGCGTTAGGGGTCAGGGTAGGCTTAGATTGACGTTGGCTAGCGTAATAAATAGAAATATAAATCTACTTAATTTGACTAATAAAATAGCATTTGATAGAGCCGAGTAGAGAAGAAGAATTCATTTAGCTGACCCCATTTGATGAAACTTAAACTTGGTTTGGTTTGGTTTGGTTTGTTCAATTATTTATGTCTAGTTGTATAAGGCCAACCCTTCATAGAACAACTGGTCTTGTTTGTATTTTGTATTGCACATATGAAAATGTTTTCTTTATTTGTTTGAAAAAACACATAAGAAAAATGCAAAGTCAAGCACAACATATTTCTGAACATGGTTTCACCTTGTTTAGCTAGTATATGTGTTCAATTGTGATGCTCTCTTTATTTTGTTGGATAACACTTTCTAGTACTGGTTTTGTTTGTATTTTCAGATGCATATAGGAGAAAGGTTTTCTTTAAGTATGAAAAACGCATAAGAACACGAAGTCCTCCTGAAAAGGTATGTTTCTTCACTAAAGATATACTGCATTGTTATAGCTATGGACCAAAGCAATATATGTGAATATGATTTAGGTCTGAGTGCTTTTGACAGTATGGTATAAATATTTTCATTTACTTCTAAAAATATCTGATCCTTTAAACTGCCAATGAAAAAGCTGAAAGTTTTTATTTATTTATTATTACTGTTAATCTACAGTCAATAGACTAAATTTGCAATGCATATTGGAACATACAAAAAATTTTATGGGTCTTAGCTTTCCCATTAATATATTTACACATATTTGAAGAAGTGCTTTTAGGATATCAAAGAATGTGTCACTTGTGGTGCATACCATCTTGGTGAGGGGACACTTAAGCGCCATACGGCTCTTTTGGATTTATGGATTTGAAATTAATAGGTTTGACATCAATAATTTGAGGAGTGTAAACTTTAGTTCAATGTCACATTTTTAGAATTAGATATCAAGAATGGATGTGAGCTTTATAATGATAGGTTTCAAATAACTGATGAAAATACTTATTTGAAATCCTTCCATAAAGATTCTACTTGTACAAGGATCTTAACCAAAAAACATGTCTCATAGCTCTATTCAATCCCTCACTTTGAAATTTTTAATCTACCTTCAATAATTTTATAAATTCAACCTCAAATTCATTCATCCAAAGGGAGCCTAAATGTGCCTTAATAACGCCAATATAGTCTTCTCTAGTTGTTAGCTGTGGTTGTTAACTACATTCTTTAATTATTCCCCAAAAAAAGAAAGATTCCTGAGCACTGAAATTGAAACCCATCATCATAAACCTAGAGATTCAAGTTATACATGAAGTATGTGTGAGTTCATTGTAGTTACTGGTTAGAAACCACTTTTTTGCTTCTATGACCATTGTAAAGTTTAATGTTCGCTATATTTTGTGGTTTTTATTGTTTTAGGTTTTTGAGTACTTTGCCTCAATCCAAACCCCAAGTGGGGAGGTACTTATGACGACGGTAGACTTGATGCGTGCAGTTGTCCATGTATTTCCTCCCTCTGAATCAAATCGTATTAGAGAGGGATATCTCAAAGGGGAATGGATTCCTATCGAGTTACATTGTGCTCCTTCAATATTTTTTATGCTTTTTGATACCGACAACGATGGACTTATATCATTTGCAGAGTGAGTTACAATTTTGTTATCGATATTGCTTGTAAAATATTTGAAAAATCTAAAAACTTTCGAGATATCAATCCCAATCAGTTCCAATCAAACAATCAATAACAAATTGATACAATGATTTAACATGGAAAAAATCAGAATTGGAGTACCTCCAAATGTGATAAAAAATCATAGCCCAAAGTTACAAAACAATCTACTTAGAAGACAAAAAAAAGAAGAAGAAGGAATATACGTAAGAGTACTCTCAATTATCTAGTGAATCCATGCCTGAATTGAACCAACCCTGATGTGTCTCTTCTACCACCGTCTTCACTTTGGAATTGTCTTGCCCAATGTTGAATGTACAACACCGATGTCGAATTCACAATGATAAGCCACTCTAGGTAAGTTACATGGACTCGGGTGCAGGTGTCGGATACGGGTATGTGTCTAGGTGTCAGATTCGCCTATTCGTGAAAATAAGGATACAGGGACTCGACTAAAAATTGTCCAAAAAGTAGATAAGGATACGGGGACACGTCATATAAAATATTAGTAGAATTTTTATATTGTAAACTAACTACATAATCTATGCATCATGATGATCAATAACCAGATTGTTAAAGTCCAAAAAAATACATAAAAATACATAGAAGAAGAAAAAAAAGTAATTTATTATGAAATGAATGTAGGACCTAGGCACATACCTAATTGATTAGGGCTTCTAACCTCCCACAATTCACATGTTCTTTCACCATTTTAGCTGCATAATTATCACCATCAGTTTGTAGTCAACAAATAAAAAAGTCATTGTGTATAAAATATAAATTAAACCAAAAAAAGACAAGGACAAGATATGGATGCTTACTTTATCAAGTTTAAAATGTGTATGACTTTGACCACACCTATAATATTCTATATCATTATAATTGCAACATAGAATATTAGAAATTCAAATTGTGAATGATGTCAAAGCTCCTTGGTAAAATCCTTAATCAAACTATTGATATTGAATCCTTGAAACTGGCAGGGAAGATTGATCATCCAATGATATTCGGCTTCTAAGCTCTTCAATGCTTTAGCCTTAAACTTGTTAGCAACTATACCAACACATTGATTCACAACTTAATTCCCACAAATATCTCTGATTGTGTCCCATAAATAAAGCCTCCTCTACATACAAATATAAACATTATGACAAAAAAAACTACCTTCAAGTTGATTGAGATGATCAAATTTAGATTTACAAAAATATAAGTTTTGTATGTCAAGTCAACTATTCCTAGTTGACTGATCATCTCCACCACACCACAAAATGTCAAAAAATTAAAAAAAAAAAAAGAAAAAAAGAAAAGAAAACAGATTATAGTCTTTTACATAAACATCAATATATGAAAATGCAAAAGATCAACTGAAGCTAGTCCAAAAGTTAAGCATCTAAGTCTTCACCATAACCAACATCATCAGGCTGAACATCCTCCATTACATCATCAAAAGTCACAAGCTCCAACTCAGGTTCATTGATGGAAAGTTTTTCAAACTCAATTGGAGGTCCATCAATGTCAAACCTATCTCCACCTACAATCATGCAAAAGTCAAAAAAAAAAAAAAAAAAAAAAAAAAAAATAAAAACAGTGTTTAATTTTAATTAGTAGAAGAAACAGAACAAGATTAATGAATTAGAAAACTTACATAAATCCCAATACTTTGAAGGCCCTTGTACTCTTTTTTCTTTCTTGATAACATCCTTATGTTGCAATGCACAAAGACCAAATCTTTAGCTCTACTACTTGCCAACCTATTTCTTTTGCTGCTATGAATATGACCATAGGTGCTCCAATTTCTCTCACAACATGATGAAGAAGCTGGTTGTGACAGCAACTTAAATGTTAACCCTTGCAACAATGGTGTTGAAGCACCATGATTAGCCCACCAAGAAATTGGCTCCTCATACATTCTTGCTTCAATAACATGTGGTTGATTGAAATAGCCTGATCCACTTGAAAAAGCACCATATTCAACAGAAACATTTTGCAAATGAGTTGTATTTTTTTGAAATAGTCGCTCAAAACACTTGCTCCTATTAGTAGACACTTCTTCATCTTCATGCAAGGCCAATCGCCGAATGCCATTACTTCCACCTTGAAGCCAAGACTCATGATAATACTTAGGGACCAAGGGATGAGCTATGCAATGTAGTGGTGTGTTGCTTTTGGTCCATCTAGCTTCTAAAATTTCATAAATTGTGTCAAAAAAATATGATTGTCCTATGATATGATCTTTGTCTTCATGCTCAAATATAATTGCTTTCACATTTTCTATCATAGTGTCCCACATATCATATATACAATATAACATAGGAGCATCAGTGTCTGCAGCCCTTAGCATGTCAATAATAGGCTCTGTAAAACTCAAAAGGATGAAGAAGCTGGTTGTGACAGCAACTTAAATGTTAACCCTTGCAACAATGGTGTTGAAGCACCATGATTAGCCCACCAAGAAATTGGCTCCTCATACATTCTTGCTTCAATAACATGTGGTTGATTGAAATAGCCTGATCCACTTGAAAAAGCACCATATTCAACAGAAACATTTCGCAAATGAGTTGTATTTTTTTGAAACAGTCGCTCAAAACACTTGCTCCTATTAGTAGACACTTCTTCATCTTCATGCAAGGCCAATCGCCGAATGCCATTACTTCCACCTTGAAGCCAAGACTCATGATAATACTTAGGGACCAAGGGATGAGCTATGCAATGTAGTGGTGTGTTGCTTTTGGTCCATCTAGCTTCTAAAATTTCATGAATGGTGTCAAAGAAATTTGATTGTCCAGTGATATAATCTCTGTCTTCATGCTCAAATATGTTTGCTTTCACATTTTCTATCATAGTGTCCCACATATCATATATACAATATAACATAGGAGCATCAGTGTCTGCAGCCCTTAGCATGTCAACAATAGGCTCTGTGAAACTCAAAAGATAATCCAAGTCGTCCCACCAAACATCATTTACTATGAGTTGCTTCACCTCACGAGCTTTAGCATCCACTGGATTCTTTCCATCTCCTCTATAAATCTTCCATCCTGCATCCATCACCATCTTCTCTAATGCTAGCTTTACTTCCTTCAAACGTTTAGCCATGACAATGTGTGATGCAAACCTTGTTTCTGCAACCCTTAGTAATTCCAAATTTGAGTAACTTTTGAAAATGACATTTGGCTAGCTAGGATTCACTATGAAATTTCTTATATTATGAAGATCAGTGACTAAGTTGGCTATCCATTTACATGCAGAATGTTGAGATGAACTTTGGGGGGGCTCACACATACTCTTTAATGCCAAATTCAAACTATGCACTACACATGGTGTCCAGAAAATGTGAGAATACTTATTTTCAATTGTCAACCCAGCAGCCTTAAAATTATATCCATTATCTATAACAATTTGAACAATATTCTCCTTCCCAATTTCTTCAATCACTGATAGAAATATGTTTGCAACATAATCTGCATCTTTTATATTTCCACTTGCATCAATTGCTTTCACAAACATTGCTCCACCAACAGATGCTGCCATTATGTTTATAAGCGGCCTCTTCTGTCTGTCTGACCATCCATCAGAACATATAGATACTCCTTTCTTTTTCCATGAGTCTTTTATGGGTTGAAGCTTTCTATTTACATGTGCCTTTTCTTGTGCAAGTATTGTTGTCCGCAACCTATCATATGTTGGGGGAGAATAACCAGATAGTTTGCTGTTTGCTGTTTGCCAAGGTCTGTGAATATTTTCTAAAATAAGGACACCTTGCTAAATTGAATGACAGATCAGAGGCATAGAACATACGAGCAGCTTGTTTATCAGCAATGTCTCTTTCTGCCACATTAAATGCAGCTGCCAAAGGTCTTGAAATTGAACCATTTCTTTTTTTATTTTGAAACAAGTTTGATCCTTCAGGTAGAGATACATAATCTGTTTTTTTTTCTTGCATCTAAATGTTGTCGAGCTCTTCTTTTTTCTATCACTTCATGCTCCTTTTTGAGTGTTTCAAAAACATCATCCTTTATAGCTTTGCAGGCTTCCACTCCACAGTTAGGAAACTTCAACAAATGAGTGTTGACTTTTGAATATGAACCTGTTACTTTCTTATTGCAATAGTTGCAGGACCAACATCTATTTCCACCCCCCACCTACTGGTATGCTAAGAACCTTAACATGATTCCACAATGGTTTATCATCAAACTCAATTCCTTGAGGTTTCGCTGGACGTAGTACTACAGATTTTCCTTTTCCCTTCTGCTTTTCCTTGCAAGTAGATTTTTAGGATGACATTATTTATACCTGTAGGAGCATATGTATGTACAAAAAATATAGAGTAACAGAGCCTTTATGATTATGATATGACATTAATTTTTTCAGGATGACATTAATTTTTTTGTGTTAAATTTTTGTGAAATTAATTGAAAAATAAGAACAAATTTTCAAAAATTCAAACAAACAGCCTTTATGATTATTATATGAAAGTTATGTGAAATCAAAGTACCAGTACTTCGTTGGTGTTATTAAACTTGAGGGGAAAGAAATAAGTAAGAGAAAGAATTAAAACATGTCTTTGCTTGATTTTTCTAATATACCTTTTAATTTTTGCAGGTAGTTGCAGAAGCTTTAAAATCCTTCTCTCTGAAATGGGAAGTAGAGGTGTTGAAAAATCTAAAAATCTCCTAGATGTTGATTTGTGATTATGTATCAATTTTAAACAGTATATAACAATCCCAATCAAACAATAAAGACAAATCGACACAACGATTTTACGTGGAAAAATCACAATTGGACACTTCCAATTGTGATAAAAAAAACTATGGGCAAAAGTCACAAAACAATCCACTAAGAAGATATGAAGGAATTACACAGGTATACTCTCAATTACCTAGCGAATCCACGCCCGAATTGAACCAATCCCTATGTGCCTCTTCCAACCCCGTCTTCACCTCGGAATTGTCTTGACGATGAGCCACTCCAGAATCCATTAAAGCTTCAGGCTCGAATTCTTTAGAATCCACCGAAGAACAACTCTCTCTTTTGTGTAGAACAAACAAATAATCCTTTGATGTATACTCTTTAAACCATGAGTTGAATACTCAATCAAAACATCAAAGAAAACTAGCAAAATATCCTAAGATATAAACCTTAATATCAAAAAAGAAGATCTGAAGAAGTAATCCTAGCTTTGGACCGAAACAAAAACTTATAGAAATCTAAGACTGCGAAGCTCGCTCGAGCGAAGACTCTCCCGCTCTAGTAAGGAACCAAAAACGCGTGTTTTTCATAAGTGGCTTCGCTCGAGCCACGCTCCCTTCGCTGATGCGTACATTCATCTCTTTCAGGTTTTTACACAGACGCAGCCTTCGCTCGAGCGAGAACTCCTTCGCTCGAGCGAACAAGGGCGGACATGCAACTTTGAATGCAATTTTGCATTTTGCTTCGGGGGCATTGCCCCTCTACTCCACCGTGGTGTTGTCCCGAACCCGCCAAGGAGCGCTGCCCCCTGGACCCCCGCGAGCTGACCGGGCAGCTCGATCCCCGTCATAATCAGCGAAGTGGCGATCTTGAAAGTATTAACATCACAAGCTTCTTTGCAAGTCACAATTCGGGTTGGATTCGCATCTAACAACTCGTAGCCTCACTGAAATAAAAAGTGCGAAAACAAATACAACAGAAAAGAGTTTCTTCAAACGGGATTGTCAAGAATAAAAACCTAACAATTCTGATTGGTGGTAGTATTAATCCAACCAATAGAGATGTTTTCACTTTAAAAAACAAAAATGAAAGAAGAAAAAGAGACTTTTTGTATTCCAGCTCCCAATCATTAATTGATCAACTTCTTTTTCCCTTAATTTCCTCTTTTGGGAGGGCGTGATTGATCAAGTTCAATGTGTGAATAATGGAAACTATTAGAGAGTTGTCATTTGAGATCATTCAGCTTGAAAATTATTTTAAGTTAGATATTAATTCGAGACAAATATGAATCAAACCCACATATTAGTGGGGAAAGACTATACCATTTAATTTTTACTTTGAGAGGTAAATGGTGTATGGTTAATATCATAATTTCAAATAGTTAAGGCATGATGAATGAGTTGGAACCATACAAAAATCAATTGTTCATAGAATTATCAGGGTTTTGTTCGTTCAGTTCAAGTCTTATATATATATATATATATATTTATTTATTTATTATGGAAGAGGTAGTTAATGAATGTGATTAAGGGGAGGTGAGAGAAGTTAGGTTTTGTTTGTTCAGTTCAAGTCTTTTCATAGTTGAGGCATATGAAAAGTTAGGTTTACCTGAACAATGGGTGGTGAGAGAAACCCAAACATTTCAAGCCCATTAATGCTTTCTGAAGGCTGTACGGGTGGCAGTCCCTGCTTTCCTATATTGCTCTGCCTTTCGATTTCTTGATTTAGCCTTTCCAACACCATTTCCCATCACTTCTCTGCTGAAACATTTACAAATCTGTCACTTGGACACTCCTCTAAGGAAACGGGAATGGATCGTCGGTCGCCCTTCCCCGTCGCCCTTTCCTGTCGCTCCCAAAACGACGTCGTTTTGGGGGCGACAGGGGAAGGCGACGGGTGATTCGGATTCCTAAGGAAACCTGTAATATCATAAAATAAGAGAAAAGTCAAAACATCATATAGGAAAAAAATATATACATATATATAATGATAAATTCACACATATTTTGGAGTGCTTGGATGAGTAAAATGAATGAAAAGAATGAAGTCTCATTCTCATCTCTCTCTATCATGTCTCTCTCAGCTCCTTTTCTCATCTATCAGTTCTCCGGCGAAAGGCTTGCGACCTCCGGCGAAAGGCTTGCGATGACGGAGCAGAGGCTTGCGACCTCCAATCCAACTACAAAGGCTTGCGACCTCCGGCGACCATTGGTCGACTGTAAGTTTCTCTACCCTTCTTCTTTCTCCTCTTCTCTCATGTCAGCCGTGTCCGAGGAAATCATGCCGAATCCGACACATATCTCACACCCGCACCCGTGTCGCGTCGTGTCGACACGGGTACTCTACCCTAAACCGGCGAGTCCATGTAACACAGCACTCTAGAACCCACCAAAGTTTTAGGCTCAAGTTCCCTAGAATCCACCAAAGAACACTGCTCTATTTTGTGAATGAAATAATAAGAACAACCCTTGATGTTTGACAATATGTAGTTCATTGATCAATCGATCATCTTCTATACACCAAGAAAACTCATATAAAACACCCTCCAATAAGAAACAATTTATTTTCTCTTCCTTTCCAAGAATCTGGACAGGTTAAACCTTAAAAATAGCAAATGGCGCACTTTATAGAAAATAGAGTCACGAAGACAGCTCGAGCAGACACTTCACCGCTCGAGCGGTGTTACTAAAAGGCAGTGCAAACATATAGGCCAACCGCTTGAGTGCACATTTCACCGCTCATGCGAAGAAAAATATTTCCCAGAAGTTCAGTTTACAGGCAAAAATACTAGATGGTTCACCTCACCACTCGAGCGCACAAATGACCGCTTGAGCGGTCAAACAACTTTTGACTCCATTTGTGCTTGACAAACAAGGATTGCTCAAGATACGGAATGGCAGCACAAACTCCTCTACATAGGCACAATTCGCGTTGGATTTGCATCTAAACATTCATAGCCTCACTGAAACAAAAGTGCGAATAAAATTACAATTGAAAGGAATTTTGTCAAATGAGATTACTAATTACAAAAACCTAATAATATCTACATAAAAGGGTTCATTAAAGTTTTATTTTTTCTATTTTTTCTGTAACAGGTATGTTTTTCTTGTTACACTACTCAGCATCCCAGAATCAAGCTTTTCTGTGGCATTTAAAATGTTTGACCTCGACAATAACGAGTAGGTCTAAACTCTAAATCTAATGTGTGTTCAGCAACCACTAAGGAATCTAGTAGTTTTTCGAACAATCAAAATCACTACTCGGTGTTGTTTTACCTTGAAATTTTCTGCTTTCATCTAATTTCTTTTCTTATCTCTGTGGTTCTGGTATTGATTAAATAATTCAAGCAGTGTAGTTTCCTCATTTTTTTTCATGTAAATTTAATCATAAAAAACAAAACTATTCCGAGTAGAGTTCATTTGTAGAGTGTTTGTTATGTTCCTGAGAAGAACAAAATCCAAACCGCCCCAAAAGCTTCTAATATGGATTAATTATTCTGGGTATTTGTTTAAGAAATTATAACAGTCATCGGATGACTACAAACTACTGAAAGAGAATCACTAGGCTACGAAGAGGTATGACCTTGTATTTATTAAGAACTTGATTTAAATACTTGTAATTTTATATAAATACAACAATGTTTTTTATTTTTTATTTTTTTTTGGTGACTTTTGATATTTCTAATTATGTCATATGCTAGAACCAGAAAAGCATCACAAGTGACTGTCAAATATCTTCTGTATGAGTATTTTGCATTTCCTAACTTTAAGCATCATAGTGCATCATAAGTCTAAGTTCGTTGGTTTATTTATTTTTTATTTATAACGAAGCGAGCAAATGATTGTTCAATTTGTTTATACCTTCTTCTATATCTAGTAAAATAGTTTCTATTTTTTTGTTGAAACTCATAGAATGATATCTTCTACTAATATTTTGTATGGACTTTGAAGTTGTCATCTTGTTTACCTGAATAAACCGAGAGATAGACAAGGATGAATTTAAGAAGGTGATGACCTTGATGCGAACACATAACAGACAAGGGGCTCGCCACAGAGATGGACTTCGTATTGGACTAAAAGTTTCAGGTTCTGTAAAAGATGGGGGTCTTCTAGAGTACTTCTTTGGAAAAGATGGCAAGCAATGCCTAGAACATGGAAAATTTGTCCAGTTTTTGAGAGACATGCATGATGAAGTAAGTCAAGCAACTCTCTCTCTCATATTTTTTGGGGATTTCAGTTAATCTATATGGTATGGTAAAAATAAGTCATTTACTTCTTTATCTCACTTGGTTGTGTTCATATAACTTTTTTTTAATACTTCATGTTAATAATCTATACTATTATATAAAGTTTACACTTGAAACTGGTACCCTTTTTAGACCTTAATAACTGCTCTAAACTGCTTTAAATCTCTTAGATCCAACTGCTTCAATTAACTACAATAGTTATCAAAACCAATTCCTTAAGGATTAATAGTGAAAGGATTAATATTCCCATAAATTAGTATAGGATTAGTTATCTAATTAAATTAGTAAGATAACCATTTATTATGTATTCATTTTATTTTTTTCTTTCATAGTTCGAATTATGATTCCCAACGCCTCTCAATATTAAAAATAAGCCAATTTCGTCGGATTGAATGTCCGTCGTACATGAAATCCAGTTAAAAAATTTACAATCAAACATAGGATTGGGAGTTCATGGACTAACATTTCCAATCCTATGCTATAATAATCCTACTAATCAAACATACCCTTAAATAACTGTTATTTTATATTTTGCACACCTCTAGTAATTATAATCTATATCTTTTACACTTTTGTAGATATTGCGGTTGGAGTTTGCCCATTATGACTACAAGTCACAAGGAACCATATCTGCTAAAGATTTTGTGTTGTCAATGATTGCATCTGCTGACATGCAACACGTAAACAAGTTTCTTGACCGTGTTGAAGAATTAAACAATGAACCAAATCTCAAAGACATACGCATTACATTCGAAGAATTTAAGAATTTGGCAGAGCTTCGTAAAAGGTTACGCCCCTTGTCGCTCACAATCATCAGTCATGGGAAAGTGAATGGGCTCTTGACAAAGCCCGATTTCCAAAGAGCTTCATATCATGTAATAAACTTACTATGCACATATTTTTTTCCAATCAATTGAGCATATTGCATAACTGATATTAACGGAGTTCGTATGTTTGGTTGCAAGGTTTGTGGTATCTCTCTCACGGAGAATGTGGTGAATATGATATTTTATGTGTTCGACACTAATCATGATGGGAGTTTGAGCTCGGATGAGTTTTTAAGAGTATTACAAAGACGAGAAAGGGATGTCACACTACTGAGGGAGGCAGGATTCATGGGATTATTTTCTTGCTGGTTGGAGTGTACAAATAATTGCTCTTATTCAAAGATGCTACTTTAAGTTGTTTTTATTTTTACTGATGAATGATGATATTATGTGAAAATGATAAATAAATAAAATGACACCAATTTTTTTTTTTTAATAGAAATAAACAGGATGCTCTGAGGTATCATCATGGCATCCGTGGGCCTACGCCTCGAAGTAACCAGTTGCTAGCTTGATTTAACCCAACCTATAGTAAGGGACCTGTTGGGTATATCTCCTTAATGGAGTATGAGACCTAATTAGTTTATTAAAATATTTAATTTGATTTGGTATTAGTTATAATATATTTTTATATATTATATTTGACTTTTGGAGGCTCAATGAATATTTAAAAATCTGTTTGGTGGCAGTTAAGGTTTTGATAAAAAGCCCAAGAGTCAACAATATTGTTTTGGGATTATCTTTGCTTTTGTGAAGAGGGTGCCGTCGAATTGATTTCCTAAGTGCTGCTGTGTATTTTTCGGTGCTATTGGTACAAAGCTTTGTGCTTTGTTTGGTGCTATTTTGCTTCAAAGCATTGTTTAGTTTGTTATTTTGGGTCCTCTTCAACTCTGTTTCGAAGATTTTTATTCATCTATTTGGCGAGATCTTTCCTCTTGATTATTTGTGATTATTTAGAATTCATCTCAAGGTAGTTTGTGAGACCATTCGTGTCTCGTTTGTAATCCTTTGAAAACTATTTGTTGATAGTGGAATCGAATTTTGGTCCCGTGAACGTATCTCACATTGAGGGAATCACGTAAAAATTCTTGTGTTGTTGATTTAATTTTTTCTGCATTAGTTTTTATTTGCATTGATTGATTTACGTGTGGAAAATTATCTATTTTCTCTAACAACTAGTATTAGAACTTACGGTTTATTTGTGTAAATCAATGGATGAAAATGTGGGTCGTATGTCTAGTTTTAATGGAAGCAATTAGGTAACTAGAAAAACTAAAATGGAAAACCTATTATTTTGTAAAGATTTGTATGGGCATATTGAAGGTGATAATGGCAAACCCGAGGGTATGAAAGATGATAAATAAAAGAAGTTTAATTAAAAAGCCATTGGTGTTATCTATCAATGGATTGATGACAGTGTGTTTTATCATGCTGCTACTAAAACTTTGACACATGATTTATGGAAAAAGTTAGGTCTTTACGATAGAAAGTCAGCCACAAATAAAGCTTTTATGTTTCGAAATTTAGTTAATTTAAAATATAAAGATGACAGCCCCATTCTGGAACATTTGAATGAAATAAAAAGTATTGTTAACCAACTTGCTTCTATGAAAATTATATTTGATGATGAGTTGCAGGCTTTGATGTTACCTAGTTCCTAGCCTGAAAGTAGGGAGACTTTGGTTGTGATGGTTAGTAATTCGGCGCCTTATAGAGTTATCATAATGAGCAAAGTCACTAGTAGCTTGTTGAATGAAGAGACAAGAAGAAAATCAGTGGGTTCTTCTCATTCGAAGGTGTAGCTAGTTTTTTGCGCTTATCGGAGGGGTTTAGTCTCATCGGATGTAATTGCCCTACAGTTCGGACTCTTGTGGTTTAGAATCCGGTTTCGCAAGTGCAATGTGAAATAGAAAATGAATAAGAGTCCAAATCCGGCAAATCCTAGAAAATCTATTAATCATCAGAGATACCAAAAATGGGCTGCATTGCCAGATTTCAGAGTTGCCACTTAAATATTTTTGGAAAATTTAGAAAACCCGTGACTCGTGCCAGAGGCCACTTGTCCGTCATAACCAAAGTTGTCGTAGTTCGGGAACTTAGGTATGAGAAGGAAATGTCATGAATTGAGCACTCCACTCACTCGATCAAAGATCAGCCTTTACTAAGTCATGATGTGAATTTTTATAGACATTATAACCTCATATTATGATTATTAATATACTAACATTACTATGTGAAGCAAACAAGTATAGACCACGTCACTTATTTTGAAATAGTTTGATTTCATGCTTTTTTTAAAAGAGTTTTGAATATGTGCAACTCAAAAGAAAACCGTTCTCATATGTACAATAATCAAAGTCATTCCAATCTAAGCCACATAGCCTCCATCCATAGGTATTCATAGAGATATTGCAAGTAAGGGAGTAGCCTCATGGTAGTATGCTTAACATGGTAACAAAGACACACATGCAGTATGCTAAAGCAAAAATGCTTACCCAAAACTTGTCTGAGGCTAGCCAAAGAAGAGAAGATAGTTACGAAGATGCATGATCCTAATATGTAAAATGACTAATGCATCACATACAAGAATGCAATTACTAGATTCGGCTACTAACATGACATAGGAATCTACTCAAAACATAAGACGACACACATATTCGTTTTAAGAAATAATCAATGATATCAAGTATGATGATCTGAACCCTAATGCATGCAAAAATGGATACAAATCATGGTAATGATAAAAGAAAATATGATGCTATACAATTACGGTAAGCATGTAAATAAAAAGGAAAAAGAAATGACGGTTGGAAGACATGTATCAATGCTTACAAATTTGCCATTGTACAAAAGGGTCCAAATGTCCTAATTAACTAATTATTACAAACATAAATGAATGAACTAATTAAGTAATTATTAACTAATTATTACAAAATATGAATCTCGAAGTTACTAATCTAAAGGACTCAAATGAGAGACGAGGGCCTGAGCGCATACAAGCAAGAACATCCTTTGGAAACCTCTCTGCTTGATGCCAGCAATTGCCTTGTTCGCATTCAGAAAATAGTTCTATTTTGACGTTCGTCAGGATTTGCCCTGTTGATCTGAAATACTACCACTGTTGTACAAAAGGGGTGGTCGGCCAACCAAAAGGACTGGTCGGCCGCACAAAAGGATGGCTGGCCAGCCACTATTTTTGGGGAAATACCTGCTGCGACAGAACTATAACAGAGCAAAACATAGGGTTTCCAAACGATGTTCATTATAACAACTCCGATCTGTAATTAATCACTAATCCATGATTCAGGATGCTAATTAGGAGGTTAAACTAAAATTTTGTGTTAATTGTGTATTTTGCATGCTATTTGACTTTTTATCTGTTAATCGTAGTAGTATCTGTTGTGAAATCTGCTTTGATAAGAAAATTGAAAGCCTGATCGACATCCAAAACTGAAATTGGTTACATCAATATGTTATTTGGAATTTTTAAAATCATATGGAAAATTTTATTAAAAACATATTCAGTTTAATTAATTAAGTTGTGTTTGGTTAGGTAAATGTTTTAATTATTGTATTAAGCCATTATATCTATTTAAATGTGGTTTGTTTGAGTCTAGAACTCATTTGTGAGCTCAACATCACTATTTTGAGAGCAAAATCTGAGATTGTATTCTAGAGAGAGAGTGAGTTCACTTTTAGAGAGAGAAAGCTAAAGAATTGGAAGGTTAAGGCTTGATTCTTGAAGATTAAGAAGAGAAGCCCTAAGATTTACAAGAATTTGGCTTATTCAAGACTCTAGGTGAGAATTCAAGACTTAATCATGAGTTTAAGCCATCAATTAGATCAATTCAAGAGGAATTTGTGATTATGTGCAAGAATTGAACTAAAGATGGATGAATTTAGAGTTAATTCATACATTCATTCTTAGTTTTGTTTAATTTTATCATTTTGAATATGATTCATGTCATCCATGTTGAATTTATAAGGTGAATTGTACATGCATGCATAATTCACAAAGCTTTGGGAGTGAATTTCATGTTTTATGAGCTTTGGAAAAAGAATTTGAAGTAACTCTACATGCATGCATGATTTTGCCATTCTTGAGTTTGAATCCTATCACCTATGATGATTTGGAAGCTAATTTACACATGCATCATTGATTTCTAAAAGCTTTAAGAGTTTTACTTCATGAATTATATTGTTTTGGAGCTCAAATCCATGTTTTGAAGAGTATAAGATAAAAAAGGGTTAAAAATCTTGCATGGATGAAAATTTTAAGCCTTGATTTAGTGAATTGACCTTTAATTCATGATTTTAAAGAAGTTTCTAAGTGTTATCCAAGTGTTTTCATGAGTTTGGAATGGCCATGCAAGCTTCTACAAGTTATGATACATTCTTGGAGCCCAAACTCTGTGTTTTAAAACCCAGAAAATTCACAGCTGGCTCGAGCGACCAAGTGGTGGCTCCAGCCAACATTGTGAGCTCCCAATATTTTGAACTCTGCAAAAGCTAGCTTGAGCGACGAAGTGGTGGGTCGAGCGACCTTAATTTTTGCCTTCAACATGTTTTCAAAAGATGTTTTAAATACATATCTTCACTCCTATCTCTTTCCGGGCATTCTTAGGCATGATTTATGAAACATTAAGGATTAATAAGCTAAGAAACATCATACGTAAGTGAATTAGAAAATATGTGTCGAATCTGAGCATGTGGTTCAATATGAACAAGTTATGTGCCATGGAATGAATAAGAAGTTAAAAGAAAAAAAAAAAAAGGCAAGCCAGGTATGGCCATATGAATGAGTAATAATGAGACATGTTTTGTGCTATGCACATTTGTGTTTGTAAGTCAAGACTCGAAGACTGACCAACCGTTTATGGAAGCCTACTGTGAGCAACGTTATTGTAAAGATATATTCATATGAATTATGTTCCAAATGTGATTTGATAAGCTATGATTTCTAAAATGATACTTGTTTGCGTGTACAAATGTCTTATGTTTGAAATCTATTATGGCATCCATAGATAGTCCCAAGTCATGGAGGACGGTATGTTAATATGGGTATATGACATATATGTTATTACGAGATCTCGTTAGCCACTTGTCAAAGTGGTGATGTGTTTAATCGGTATCCGAAACTGATTACTCTAGTTGGATGACGATGTGATATATTCTATTGGATGTACCATTGTTATGTTCGGATATGAGAATGATTATGTTATGATTTGTTTTATGATTATGAAATGTTCGGAATTCGTTCACTAACCTCTTTACCTTAGTGTTACTTACTAGGCTTTAGCTCACTGTTTATATATATATATATATATGTACATGAGCATGTACAGGACTAGGCC